AGCTCCTTTAACTGTCCCATTTTCCCCTCCCAAAATACCAATGTCTATGTAATAAAAATAATGACATATAACACCAATTTAAAATAATTAATTATTACCATGATTACTGTTAAGTGATGGCTAACAGATCTGGTTTTCCTACCACAGAGACAATTGATACAGTGCCACTGGTAACCCAGCCGCTATCAACACAGGTCTGTTAAGCAGCATCACACCAAAAAGGAACAAAGCATTTCCCATCTGTCCCTGCCTAAAGCCTGGCACTGTGCAATGCCTGGTTGTTGTGTTACAGCAGCTTTTTAAATGCTAATCAAAAACTGCTCTGCACAGAGCTCTTTTGCTCCAGAGCCACGGTGTCCAACCCCCTTCTCCACCTGACTACTGCAGGAGAAAAACTACCATCATCCAAAAATCCCAGTGGAGGGATTTTCCTTCTTTTCCTTTCTGGCAATTTGGTACTACCTGAATTCAGTGGGATTTGTCCTGTTAAAAGGGCACAGTATCAAAGATAAAAAATAGTGATATTCAAAAATAGTTCATTTTATCCCAGAGTAAGAATTATCAAATAGCAGGGTATCAATGGACCTAGCAGGATGACAATCTTAATAAAGAAAATCATGACAGTACCAATGAATTAAGCATTTTAAAACCAGAGGCATCCCCTCTATTGAGGCACAAGTTCTTTGAATTTCTATAAATATCTGATGCAATTAAAAGAAAAAAAAAAACTCTGGAAAAGGCAGTGTTACTCACTGATTAAAAAAGGAAATGAGCCACAGATAAAAGAATGGAAATAATTTATAAGCTTTACCAGAAAGCCATCGAGAACAGTAGCCAAATATCACATAAAAGTAGGTAAATGGTGTTTTAATTTATGATTTCCTTTTTGGGACAAAATTGAGAGTTCAGGAACAGCGACAGAAATATTTTCTTGGAAGTCAAGGCTGACCTGACTCTTCAGAGGAATGCTTTGACCACTCTCAGTTAAGATCAGAAAACCTGCAGTAGTTTGTGCCAACAGTTCAAAGAAAAAACCTGAATCAACAAAACTCAGAATATTTTCTCCAGTATTTTATTACATAAAAAGTTGATTGTCCATAGGAAATTTTTCACAAAGTGCAACCACATCCTGTGTAGCATCACTGACAAACTTTTTCTGAGTAGGACAACTGGGTTAAAAAATTTAACAGTAGCTCAGAAAAGTTAGTTATAGCACTAGAACAGAGAAGCCACTATGCTGGGAGGAGAAAGGCAGCAGATGTTTTGCTGTCATGAAAACAGATGATTTTCCATGTACCTCCGTATCGAATGGAAAAAAAAAAAAAAACTGCTCTGCACAGAGCTCTCTTGCTCCAGAGCCACGGTGTCCAACCCCCTTCTCCACCTGACTACTGCAGGAGAAAAACTACCATCATCCAAAAATCCCAGTGGAGGGATTTTCCTTCTTTTCCTTTCTGGCAATTTGGTACTACCTGAATTCAGTGGGATTTGTCCTGTTAAAAGGGCACAGTATCAAAGATAAAAAATAGTGATATTCAAAAATAGTTCATTTTATCCCAGAGTAAGAATTATCAAATAGCAGGGTATCAATGGACCTAGCAGGATGACAATCTTAATAAAGAAAAACATGACAGTACCAATGAATTACGCATTTTAAAACCAGAGGCATCCCCTCTATTGAGGCACAAGTTCTTTGAATTTCTATAAATATCTGATGCAATTAAAAGAAAAAAAAAAACTCTGGAAAAGGCAGTGTTACTCACTGATTAAAAAAGGAAATGAGCCACAGATAAAAGAATGGAAATAATTTATAAGCTTTACCAGAAAGCCATCGAGAACAGTAGCCAAATATCACATAAAAGTAGGTAAATGGTGTTTTAATTTATGATTTCCTTTTTGGGACAAAATTGAGAGTTCAGGAACAGTGACAGAAATATTTTCCTGAAAGTCAAGGCTGACCTGACTCTTCAGAGGAATGCTTTGACCACTCTCAGTTAAGATCAGAAAACCTGCAGTAGTTTGTGCCAACAGTTCAAAGAAAAAACCTGAATCAACAAAACTCAGAATATTTTCTCCAGTATTTTATTACATAAAAAGTTGATTGTCCATAGGAAATTTTTCACAAAGTGCAACCACATCCTGTGTAGCATCACTGACAAACTTTTTCTGAGTAGGACAACTGGGTTAAAAAATTTAACAGTAGCTCAGAAAAGTTAGTTATAGCACTAGAACAGAGAAGCCACTATGCTGGGAGGAGAAAGGCAGCAGATGTTTTGCTGTCATGAAAACAGATGATTTTCCATGTACCTCCGTATCGAATGGAAAAAAAAAAAGGAAATAGTAAGAGCTATAACTACCACCCTACTGGTTGAAATTAAAGGAGGTATCTCAATGTCCTGTATGTGGAACCAAAAAATCTGTTATGGAAAGCCTGATAAGCCTCCAAAGGAGACTCCATCTTCTGAGGTACTCATAGAACATTCCTGGACTTATGTAATTTTTGGAGTTTATATATATATATATATTTATTTATTTATTTATATTCATGTGAAAGATAGGGTTTGAGCTTCTTAAATCATCACCGAACATTTAGTTATGTAACACTGTCCCAGGACAAGTGCAACTGTCTCAAAGACTTTACCACTTTTAAAAGGCAATTCAGGTTATTCTTGAGTAATGAACTGTGATAGCAGAGAAAGACTGGCTGGGGTAAAGCAGCTCCTGCCAGACTGCCATATTACACTTACTGGTATATTGCAGTATTTGTTTAGTGTAAAGCATGAAAAAGGGAGAAGAAAAATGGAAGAGTAAAATAACCTTATTTTGCGAAGGCAGCATTTTGTGTTTTATATCAAAAAGCAACTGCCAAGTCATCACACAGATTAAAAACCTAAAAAAACCCAAACACAAAAAAACCCCAAGCACTTTGAAATGTGATTAAGCTATGTGGCACAAGACTCACCTGCATTTGGCATGGGCAACTGACCCAGAAACAACCAACCAATCAATCAAAAAAAAAAAAAAAAAAAAAAAAAAGAGTCAATTGGCTGGTTCAATTTCAATAAAGCTCCTTTTAACTACAAAGGGGAAACCCAATCTACTGTAAATGTAGATTTATGAATGACTAAAGCATCTATACTCAAAAGCTGGGCTATAGCTATAGTGTAGTAATTGTTTCTCCAACAGTCTCCAACCCAACCTGATCAGAAAGGAAATAACATTAGGAGGAATACAAAACTGCATTTCCATGTCTTTCTGATCAAAATCTGAATTGTCACCTCTATACCATAACTTTGAAAAGCAAAAACTCATTAATATTTCATTTTTATAGTTTCATCTGACCTCTCTTCTTCCCTTGAGATGAGAAGCAATATTGTTTACAAAGGGTGATGCTAACCCAGAATATGTGACCAAATGATAAATTAGTTGTGCACAAAATTGGACTGCACATCTCAACTATCAAAGTACCACTGAGACTCTTCTCAACTCCGCTGCACATCTGCACTAGTAGTAGAATATAAAAAGTAATAGCTAATCCTGAAGAAACAAATTTTAATTTTCCACTCAAACAGGTACAGGCCTGTTTAATGAAGTGTAGCTGCAAAGGTTTCTTTAATCTAAATTCATACAAATAAAATTAAAATTAAATAAAATGAATCAACTGGAACCTTCATCAACATCATTTAGTCCTAACATACAGAAACCAAGGATGAGTTAGTCTGCCTCTTGAATACATAACCAAATGCAGATCTATTTAAAAGGTTTTACTACTCTTCAAAGCAGTAAGTTTAGCGACATCTTTTATTTTAGAACAAGGACTCAGTTACAGTTTCATACTTTTGATACCGAAGTATTCCACAAGATCAACCATTATGGTTCAATTAGGACCTTTTATCCAAGACACTTGGATTTTAGCACCTTAAAGAAAAAGTAACACCATACCAGTATTGAATACAGTTGGTACTGTGCTCATCCTCTGTAAAATGATGTGGACCACGCTACTCGGTGCCTTTTGTCCCTAACTGGTAGTAAGGCAGAAGGGAAACAATTCTAAGCAAAGCATTTGACTGAATACAATCTGAAAAATAATAAAACCTCCCCAATTATACAAAGTATTGGCTCCCATGTGAACAGCTTCATAGTATTCGAATCAAATGTTCATTTACAATCAACCAAGTCAGTCAGGAATCTGTACCAGAAAAAAACCCCACCAAAATCTAATCAGATCAGTGTCAGTAAGTGATATGTCTGACTCAAAGTTTAACTCTGTGCTGTAACTAGTGCTTTTTCAAATATTTAAAGAAACCATTAAATCAGTAAACCAAATTAACTTCAGAGTTAAAAGCTTTTCCTTCCACCGCTCTGCCTGAGTAACAGAGCACAAGGAACAGGTGCTTCCACAGGCACAGTCCTTTAGCAGCAGGAGCAACCTGAGTGCCCTGGATCTGTCTTCACTTTTCACCCTGACACTGCTTGTGCAGGTGCTATGATTCCATTCACTTCTGCAGGGCACAGTGTCCCTCCTGTACAGATCTGCAGTGCATGAGCAGAGCTCCTACCTAGCGTCCATCACACTCCTAAGCACAGATTTCCTGGGCCACAACAGGTTGAGTTTATTTTAAAGAAACAGGCAGTCTAACCAAACATGTCCTAAACCCTTTAATTTCAGGCATCTTTGGCCACTATTCTTTGCTACTTTGGGCAGTTTGTGCCAATTATGTTATCAAACCATCTTCCAAGAGAATCTTTTCACACTGCACTTGGCTCTCAGCAGCTGTGAATCCATTATTTGCACACCCAAGATGGACACAGCTGCTACAGATGAACATCAGTGTATTCTGAGACCATAATTCTTCTTTTCCACTTAAATTAAATTTGTGATGTTAGACACACAGATTTGTAAGCTAGTTTTAAACAACAACAAAAGCATAAAAAAATTACAAACTAAAGCAGTCAATTGCTGTCATGAAGCATTACCTTTCCTGTAACTAAACAAATGGTCAACAGCAATGAGTAAACCGGTGAATTTCAACATAAATTTGAGCTTCAGTAGTCTCTGCTTCCTTCCTCCCCAAAACCCAGGACTCATCAGCAGATTCCCTTCAGGGAGCAGCAGAGCAGGATTCAGTCTGGGTACCGAGGCTGTCATAGCTCCTCTCTCTGGTTGGTTGCTCGGTTGTCCTCTTTGATGCCGTTCGATTTCTTCTCTGTGTCTTTTTTCTTCTTTGCTTTTTCAGGTTTTGTTTTGTTTTTCACTTTCTCATTTCCATCTGCTCCTTTGCCAGGATAAACCTGACCTTCCAGAGTAACATCTGCACACCTTTCCTGATTGATCAGGAAGTCTTTGATCTCCCAGGCATAGCCACCATCCCGCAGCATGAAGATGGCCCGATTGGAGCCAACAATAAACCTAGAGGAAAAATCCAAATTTTGTCAGTTAACTCTGTGCTTTTCAAACACATTTGCTCAGAGCCTCCATGACTGAGGCACATGTTTAAGAGCAAGAAGCTGATCTAGCTCTTTCCTGGGGATGGGGACATGAAAACAATATTCTAGGACATTTAAGAATAAAATGTATGAAGTATATCAATAAGTAACCAAGGAAGTAAGAATAAGGAAACAAATTTAGAACTAATTTGGCACTATGTAAAATCCACTAAAGAGCATTAAATTTGCTTTATACACTTACTGCAACCCTTCTCAGCCTCAATAAAAGAGCACAACATTCTTCTGTTTCAAAATGATGCTCTCTCAGAGAAAAAGAGTCACATTTTTTAACAGGGGAACAAAAAGTCCTTTGTGGTGACAAGTCTTCAGAGTGTGATGTTTTCCATCAAGCACACAGAGGCAAACCACTGCAGCTAGAACTGATAAATAGCTGAACCATAGTGAGAAAGAAAGAACTGGGGCTAGACACACACACATAGTGCATAAGCTTGAAGAGGTTTGTGCACCATACCACAAGTTTTGTCACAACTGACAAAGAAACAGAAATAGTAATGGATGATGGAGGTGGAGAACAGCAAAGGATGAACAGCTGAAAAGGTTTTCAGGAAGAAAGAAAGGGTTCTGCAATGGCAAGAACTTGTGCACAACAGCTCACCTTTGCACGTCGTAGTTTGCGTTGAAGAGGCTGCCCTGCCACAAGCTGGTGATTTCTTCTGTCTCCTTTTCTGTTGGATTTCCCGATACTGTGACAAACATCATCAAAGTCTTCCCCTTCTTTGTCAGCTTCAGGATGCTTTCAGGCTTGCCTGGATCTATTTTTGAGAAATCTATTGGTGCTGGAGGCCTCTTGTGTTCAGGGAGATCTCCCTCTTCGATGTCATCATCTTTCTGTTTTGAAAACGACAAGGAAGCTTTAATCTCAGCTGTTCCACAAATATATTTTGGATCTTTTTTTTTTTTTTTAATTTCTCTTTGTTTAGAGAATAACTGTGCTTTGATAAAATATTTTTTAGCTGAATGATGGGGATTGTGACACCAAAAGAAATAGTGACTGTTGTTTCAGGATACTTCACCAAGAGTGCTCTTTCCATTTATAACCCTCCCCTGAAAATGATGCACATTTTCATATTGACAGGTGGAATCTCATCACATACTGAGAAATATTTCAGCCTTAAGGCTAATTCAATACAATTCCACCTATGAAACTCATAAAGTGCTTCACAGTTTCACTAATATTTATTATGCATGCAAGATGAAATGGGAAAGTTGCAATAAAAAGCCTCATACACACATATATGAAAAAACATTCATCTGATACTGCTTTCAAAGGTCAAAACTCACTTCTGGGAATCATGTGATTGCTTGAAAATTTAAGTTCCCTTACTTTGTGTCTTTAAACAATTAAACCCACAAGAATTCAGATCTTCTGTGTGCTTATGCCACAGAAAGACTGATTAAAGGTTTCATGACTTTTCTAATGCACAGATGCAGCTCACAGCCTGACAACATAATCACCCAGAGTAAATCACTCCCACAAAGAAGAAAAAAATTAACCTCTTGATGTCTCTGCTGAGGCTGACAGCCATTTAAATATTTGGAAAGGCACAATCAAACTGCTGCCCTTAAAACAGCTCACAACTTTGAGCTGAATATGGTGACAATTTACATTAAGCCAGTACCTGATTTCTGTAACAGTAAACTTTAAAGTTTATGCACTACAGAACAGAAGCTGTAGGAGGCTTAGATTTTATCCTTTCTTTCCTTATCAAGTCTTTGTTTCAATTTTGCAAGTCTGAAACGTGCTTCAAGTAGTTCACACGCCTTGAAATTTGTGAAATGAGTGAACTGGAAGGAAAGGAGAGCCCAAGAAAGTGCCTGCCCTCACTAAGTGGGAACATTATCTTACAGGAGGCCAGAGAATGGTCAAATTGGTACAGTGAAAATACAAAATCTCATGTGATTGACTGAAAAACATTCTCCACAATCAAAAGAAGCTTAAGTCTGGTTTGACTAGAGCAAAGCCAGCTTATTCCACAGTTTTGAAACAAAAAGGCAGAAGGAAACATTTCCAAATACTTTGTATGAAATACAGAAACTGACTTTGGATTTAGTGACAACATGAGCTACTAACATGTATTGCCTAATTTTTCCCTAACTATTCAACTAAATGCTCCTGAAGTTGTATTCTTTCACTTTGAATGGAAATGTTATCAGAAGATGCCAAGAGCTCCGCTAGATGGCATTTATTTTCTTATTTCCTGTACAAAATGTAATGCAGCTGTGCTTAAAGCTATCTAAAAGGAAAAAAAGTGAAGGAAAAGTGTAAGCTTTTGCTTTGAATAGTCTGGCAGACTGTCCTGGTGTCGGGCAAATTTGGGAGGAAACTTCCAAAGGGGTCCCTCTAGAAAGCAGATTCAAGTGGCCCCTCTCTCTTCTGTTTTGGGAAAAGACTTCCTTGGAGAAAAGTGGAAAAAACCCATTTATTTAAGAAACAAAGTACTCACAAGCATAAAAAATAAATAATATTAAACAATAAAACCTCTTGCTGTTCTGAAGAGATGGCAAATGCAGAAAGTCCTTTTTGTGGGGTGTGGCTCATCTTGCTCAGTGTCTTATCAGTCCCTCCTGCACTGGAATGCAGTGTCCCAGGCCCTGGTGAGCCACAGGGGTGAGCTCCCGGTGTTTTCCTGGGTTTTTGGTCCAGAGCAGGGCCAATCAGTTTGAAGAAAAATAAAAGTCCAGGGAACTTCTCTGCCTCAGCTAGCTAAAAACTGAAAGCAAAGGAGAGCTCTCTCCTGCTGTCCGTGCTGCAGACAGCAGAGTCTGTGAGAAGGAAGGCTGAAGCTCTTGTGTTTTTGAATACAGCTGCCTCAGACGTTTCCCTGCTTCTCCTTCTCCCCGCCCCCCCTTCACTCTCAGACCTAGTTTTAAGGGTGCAAAACTTATTTCTGGGCTAAACAGATGAATGGGGATGGAAGTCAGCATCATCAAGTCACCCCAGGACACAGACTCACTCCGTTAAACAGTAACATGAGGTTCCAGAGGAAAAGCATTACATAGACATGGGGAAAACTGCATATTCCTTCACTTGCTCCTCCCCTCAGCTCCCATTTTCAGAAATTTCTCAAATGCCCTGCATTTTGATTTTTAAAAACATTAGTAATATATCTCACTTAATTGCTTTGCCTGTTCAATGATCAGAGTAAAGCCTGAGAAACTCTGAGCTTGTACCAGTAATGAACTATTTAAAGCACTTGACATTTCAGTAACTAAGAGTCCTCCAGCCCAGATTCTCAGTCCTGTGTCCAGCTCCCCAGGACTCCAGGCTTCAGGAGAATCCCTTTCCATCAGGAAAATCCCTCAGTGGCTTCCTCCAAGCTCTAGCTGTGCAACTGAGCTGCTGAAGCACCTCTGCCTCTTTGCCCATCCTTGTTTTCCACCAGATCACTCTCCCGGAGCAGGAGGCAGTCATGCACATGGTGCAAGGGGCAGCAGGGAGGTGGCTGCTCCTGCTGGGAAAGCTGCTGGAGCCACACACACAGGCTTGTGGCTGAACCCAAGCATGTCATAACCACCATCCTCCAATGGTTTTAGACTAATTGCTAGGGAAATAAAAAAATCTTTGGAGTAATTTAATTCAGTTGAAGACTTCCTTGGAGAAAAGTGGAAAAAACCCATTTATTTAAGAAACAAAGTACTCACAAGCATAAAAAATAAATAATATTAAACAATAAAACCTCTTGCTGTTCTGAAGAGATGGCAAATGCAGAAAGTCCTTTTTGTGGGGTGTGGCTCATCTTGCTCAGTGTCTTATCAGTCCCTCCTGCACTGGAATGCAGTGTCCCAGGCCCTGGTGAGCCACAGGGGTGAGCTCCCGGTGTTTTCCTGGGTTTTTGGTCCAGAGCAGGGCCAATCAGTTTGAAGAAAAATAAAAGTCCAGGGAACTTCTCTGCCTCAGCTAGATAAAAACTGAAAGCAAAGGAGAGCTCTCTCCTGCTGTCCGTGCTGCAGACAGCAGAGTCTGTGAGAAGGAAGGCTGAAGCTCTTGTGTTTTTGAATACAGCTGCCTCAGACATTCTCCTGCTTCTCCTTCTCCCCCCCCTCTTCACTCTCAGACCTAGTTTTAAGGGTGCAAAACTTGTTTCCCTGCTTCTCCTTCTCCCCGCCCCCCCTTCACTCTCAGACCTAGTTTTAAGGGTGCAAAACTTATTTCTGGGCTAAACAGATGAATGGGGATGCAAGTCAGCATCATCAAGTCACCCCAGGACACAGACTCACTCCGTTAAACAGTAACATGAGGTTCCAGAGGAAAAGCATTACATAGACATGGGGAAAACTGCATATTCCTTCACTTGCTCCTCCCCTCAGCTCCCATTTTCAGAAATTTCTCAAATGCCCTGCATTTTGATTTTTAAAAACATTAGTAATATATCTCACTTAATTGCTTTGCCTGTTCAATGATCAGAGTAAAGCCTGAGAAACTCTGAGCTTGTACCAGTAATGAACTATTTAAAGCACTTGACATTTCAGTAACTAAGAGTCCTCCAGCCCAGATTCTCAGTCCTGTGTCCAGCTCCCCAGGACTCCAGGCTTCAGGAGAATCCCTTTCCATCAGGAAAATCCCTCAGTGGCTTCCTCCAAGCTCTAGCTGTGCAACTGAGCTGCTGAAGCACCTCTGCCTCTTTGCCCATCCTTGTTTTCCACCAGATCACTCTCCCGGAGCAGGAGGCAGTCATGCACATGGTGCAAGGGGCAGCAGGGAGGTGGCTGCTCCTGCTGGGAAAGCTGCTGGAGCCACACACACAGGCTTGTGGCTGAACCCAAGCATGTCATAACCACCATCCTCCAATGGTTTTAGACTAATTGCTAGGGAAATAAAAAAATCTTTGGAGTAATTTAATTCAGTTGACAGTAATGACATTTGATTCTGTACAGCTCTATGCCCTGTGTCCCTCATTCCCAAGCACAGTTCCTGCTCTTACCCGAATTCACAGTGGCCCCTTTGTTTCTCATCCCACTCCATCAAGTGCACTCATGCCCTTTCTTCTGCTCCACCACCCCCTCAAGCCTTTCATGTTCCCTGTGTGTCCTGACTCCCACCAGGCAAAAAGCCCTGCAGCTGACCATCCCAGGAGACCAAACAACCCCCAGCAGTTGAGCCCTGCCTGGGTCCCTGCTGTGCTCTGTGTGCCTCTCCCCAGGGACACCCCCAGCCCCAGCAGTGACTGCCCAGCTGCTCTGCCACTTGTGCAGCACACTGTGACCTGGATCAGGGACCTGCTCCAGCTGAAAAGGAAAAACCCTCCAGAGCCTCCTGACCTGCCCACTAGGGCTGGAGCAGAATATACAGTCAAGAGTTACAGCAGCATTAACTTGAGTCTCCCCTTCAGCCATCTCCTTAAAGAGATGCTCAAACCTTTTAAGGTTTTTTTTGCTACAAGGCCAAATTTGGTTCAAGTTAGACAATATTAAACCTTGATGTTTTGGAAGCTGGGCCTGCTGGGTCCTTGGCTGATACCACTAACAGAAAAGTGAACTTTGAGCCTTTTATTAATTTTATTTAAAATTTTAACTCAATTTTCTAAGAAGCTCCCTTCCTAAAGGGATATATGGAGTAACAATCCATGAAATGAGCAAGTCCATGACCTGCCAACCAGGACCAAGGCAGGCATCCATACTTCCTGTTACTTTATCTATAATTCACACATAAAACACACTTCTCCACCTTGGCCTAGAGGTACAACTGGTGTTACATAAAACATACATTTTCTATTATTTCTTTCAGGCTTTTTTGCAAAATATTCCAGGAAAAAACCTCACGGGAAAGAATAAATGACAGTAAGGAGTGCTCTGGCATTCATCAGAAGATGACAGAACATAACAGAGTGAAAAGAACCTAACAGTGGCATGACAACCACATGGAGAAGAGAAGATGGGAAACCGCCAAGGAAAGTTAAGGCAGCGGGCTGATAAGGATGAAGGCGACGAGAGAGAGCTGGAATTAGAAGTTGTTACTATGAGGAAAGATAGGAAAGAAACACCAAACCAAAACAACGTATCTACCCTGTAAACGTGAAATTAATATTCCTTCTGTATCCGCCCCTCGGTCACACAATGTGTATCGCTCAATACTTCGAAAAAATCAGACTTTTCAGCCAGACGAGGCTGGCAGGCACCGAGCACCGGGCTGGGTGCTGGGGCTCTGGGAAGGCGGGACAGGGCCAGCCGGGCAGGGCAGGCTGAGGGCCGCTCGCCCCGCTTTGAAACCCCCACACACGGACCCAGAGCCTCGGAGGAAGGAACACGGCACCGGCCACCCTCCACAAGGCCAGGGGATCCCTCCCTCCCGGTCCCGACCAGGCCCGGGGATTCCCCCCTGCCCGGGACCGGGCAGAGCGGCCGCTGCCCCGCGGAGCTGCCCCGGCCCGGCCCGGCCCCGCCGCCCCCGGCAGCCGCGGCGCTCCCTCCGCGTGGTGCGGGCGGACACTGCCGGCCCCGGCGCCTGCCGCACCTCCCACTGCTCCAGCAGCCGGGCCATGTCCGCGTCGTTGTAGTCCCGAATGTCCTTCTTCTTGGGCGGCCGCTTCCCCTCGGAGCCGCCGGTCGCGGCCGCCGCGCTCAGACACAGCGCCAGGGCCAGCAGCACCCAGCCCGCGGCCGCCGCCATCTTCTGCCGCCCTCGGGAAGGCGGCCCCGGCCGCCTCATGGGCGGGGGCAGCGCGGCCGGGCCGGGAGGAGGAGCTGGAAGGAGAGTGGAGCGGGAGGGCTGAGGCCGGGAGGCGGAGCTGGAAGGCAGCGGGATGGGATGGATCGGGCCGGGAGGAGGAGCTGGACGGGCAGAGGAGCGGGGTGGATGAGGCCGGGAGGCGGAGCTGGAAGGCAGCGGGATGGGATGGATCGGGCCGGGAGGCGGAGCTGGAAGGCAGAGGGACGGCATGGATCGAGCCGGGAGGCGGAGCTGGAAGGCAGCGGGACGGGTGGCTGAGGCCGGGAGGCGGAGCTGGCCGGGCGGATCGGGCCGGGCTGGGCGCGGCCCGGGCCGGGTCCCGGAGCGGCACTGCCGGCTCCCCCCGCCGCCTGCCCGGGTGCCGCTGTCCCCGCACGAAGCCCCGCTCCAGGCGGTGCAGCCCCCGGTGCGGTCCTGCAGGGCCCGGGCAGGGAGTGAACGCTGGGCACTGAGAGGATAAAACGAGTAAATAAATGATGGGCCCAGAGCCTGGCATCTAAACTATGTGGTTGCTTTTTTTTTTTTTTTTTTTTTTTTTTTTAAACAGGATGAAAAGTATCTGGGTTTGCTGATCTGTGTCATGGGAACTGGGCTCACTGCATGAGTCTTCTGATTTTGAAAACTATCTCAGCGACATTAGGTTTCTAAAAGAAAACTATTAAAATTAATGCTGTTTGCTACTAAAATACAACTCCAGAACATCTGACCACCACAACAAAGTAAGAGATACGGCTTTTTCTTTGTGCAGGCTGTTTTTCCATTACCTAAACCAAATTACATGCATGGATGTCTGCACAGCCTTATTTCACTCCAATCTTCATTTTTTCCTCATGATAGCATTTTAATTACAAATAGCACAATCTTCTCTTCTACCTTTTTCCTTGGATTCCAGCAAGTTTAAACTTGGGAATTCAAGGGAGCATCACTGTTATTGCTAGTGGTAGATATTAATTGCAGTCAGGCTGATTAGTGAAGAGGCACTTTTCCATTTCAGCATTGAAGGTAGACCAGGTTTAGAGCAGAGTAACTAATTGTGCTGAGAGAACTCTTCAACCCCAATTCTGTTACTGTATCATATAGAATGCTGTAATAATAGAATGGTTTGGGTTGGAAGGGGCTTTAAATATCATTAGTTTTAACCCCAGATGATCCAGTTCTGGCCATGTAACGAACCAGGAACCCACTGCCTTTATGGGCAAGGTGTGCAAATAGAAAACAAAAGCAGTCAGGAGGCAGAGGTGTGGGTTTGGGGGGCTCTCCAAAGCCTGGGCTGGCTCCAGAAGTGAGCACACTGCAGGGCCACGTAGCTGGTGAACACCAGGGAGACACAGCACCTGAAGGAGCAGCTTGCCAAGCACGTGGACCATGAGAAACAGAAGAGGAGGATGTGGGATCCAAGATTTCAGCACCCCCAGAAACAAACCAGCCTGGGCTGCAGCCTCCATGTGTTTTATAACATTTCACACACGCTGCCAGTGCCTGAGGAACAGGAAGCAGCCCAGAGCTATTCGTGGAGCTTGTTAAATGCACATAACTGAAACAGGGTTTAGACAAGTACTTCTCACAGAGCTGTCCAATACCAGAGCCACTAATGAGCACATTTGCTCGGTGATCTCTCATTAAATACAATGAACATCAGGTATATTATATCGGATTGCCGTGATTAACGAGGTTTTACTAAAATAGGTTTCTGCTAACTTTTGTTATTACTGGATCGTGCATACATTCACTGGAAAAAAAAAAAGATTCTATCTTGGAATGCTGGACTTGCAGTGTAAAATGTTTTCATTGAATTTCTACTAGGAAATATTTTCTTCAATTCTGCTTTTTCTTGTTAGAACAAACCAAGCCAACTTACTTTCTTTAATAGCTGAGACTACGTTCAGATATGGATCTCAAAAGTAACCTGATTCTCTTTGGTAGGTGAACAAGTTGTTCAGTATACCCAGGACTGCACCAACAACACTATGCATTTCATTGTCATGCCAATAAAAGCTTTAATTTGCAAAGGAGGTAATTTTCATACTTGGCTCTGACTTTGCAACTACCTCTGTTCAGGCAAAATTCTGTGTCTGGGAAGACTCGTTCAAGTCTGCTGCTTGTGGGGTCAGCTGCAGGACAAACACCTGTCCAGCCCTGCTCTCTGCTGTTCCTCTTTCCCAGGCAAGAAACAAACGCAGCGCAGCACATACCACCCACAGCAGCAAATTAAACTGCATTCTCTTTTTATTGAAGCACACTCTTTTGATCAGAGCATCTACTGAATCATGCCAATATGCTTTTTACAGCTTAAGCATTTTCACATTTCTGAACAGTTTTTATAGTCCCAGCAGCTAACACTATTAGGATTGCAATACAGAATATCAGATAATACATGGCTAATTTCATTGTAGATTGCAAGGGTAAGGTGGTAAATACTTTACCTTGTAGCTGAAGTCCCATCTAATCATGCCAGGGAAGGTCTCAAGCAGTGACTGTCATTTTTGCTTCTACAACATTCAAGTTTAATTAGTATTACCTTTAATTATAAATTTGTATCTTACCAGAAAGGCAAATCTACTTCCCTTGTAAACTGTTTTCATTATTGAGCAGGGCTGGGTCAAGCTGTAATATGAGAGGATTCAGGATGTTCTAAATTTCTTTTAATGAAGTTTTAGATTATCTCTCTTTTTTCCATTTTGGAACTATAGTTGTACAAAATGTATTTTCCATACCATTCTTCCTTATGAGTTGGGAGAAGAATGTGAATTTTTAACTGCCGAAAGCTCTCTCAAGTCTTAGCTGGTGGTGGAGTTTCATATGCAATTTTCTATTTTAAAGCGGATTCCTATTTGTCACATTTTACTTTTCTCTGCAAATACAGTGCAGTAGAATCTTAAATCTTGTTCCTTAACAATCCTTGGAATTAAACCTTAGAAAAAACAGAGACTTTGACTTCATTAAGGAAATGGCAGTGCCTACCTTCTTGAAAGGACATACAGACAATTAAGACAGAAGATCAGCCCTAAGCATGCAGAAGGGAGAATGAACATGCAAGGGCTGCCTGCTATCAGCACTCACTGTGTCTGGAAGAATCAATTCATTTCAAGAACTCTACTGGCACAGAAGGATGTTTAATAGAAGCCCACATGAATTAAGTGTTGTGCAAGGCAGCCTTGTAGTGGTAATTTTGGATGCAAGTTTTGAGATGTCCCAGCATTCAGCATATTTTTCCCTGTCTAAAAGCACTATCATACATTTTACAGAATGTCAGGCTATTTTGAGTTATTTGCAGTAAAACATTCAAAATTATTGTTTTCATAGGTCAAATTATCTCAAGTACCTTAAATGTTCCCCTGCAGAGAGAATCTAATGCCCGAGCTCTCATGCACAGACAGTGCATTTGTTAATCCAACCCTCTGAATTTGCTCACAGGCAGAATTAAACCTGAAGAATCAGACCTGAACATGTTATCTTTAAAACCAAGAAAATGTCTAATAAAAAAAGCAGCACAGCAAGCAGAATATGCTGTCATCTAGAGCATGAACATTTGAATGACTCAGAATAATTTCAGTGCTCAATTTAATTTCATGCATAAGACAAGCACACTTACTTGCCATCTATTAAGAGAACACAAATTTTTGTTCCACAGCTAGTCAGCTCTTGAATTCCTGCATCCAATTTGAAAAACTAAGTCTTTAATTCAAAATTTTCCCAGATTAGGGATTAACTATGATAATTTGGACATGAAATTCTAATTCAGGTACTAACCTTGAAATTCAGATTCTGACTTGAGTTTTGAACACAAAACAAATTTTTACCCTGAATTTGTGTTATCCCGTGCACATGCATTTATAAATTAAAATTCATTGATGGGATGGAGATGCCTGATAAATGACATCACAGCTTTGTGTCATTACCTACCTGCTCAGGGCTGGGGAGGGGGGATGATGCCTGACCGTCTACTCAACTGCATTAAAGCTATAAACTGTGATCCTTAAAGTCAGAAACACCACAGAATGTTCCTCTTAGCACTCATCTTACAGCAAGATTTGCTACAAATCTGTGCTGGTTAAAACCATGTACTGGTTACACAATTTAAAGTTACCCTATTAAGAAAAGAATTACATTAAATCAATGTCAAAGAAGATTTACACAGTTCCCACAAGAATTCCATTTATAGTCTAATTTTCAGAATCTAAATGAAATTCATTTTGTAGTCCCAATTTCATTTTAGGTTTACAGGTCAGTTTTGGTACCTACATCTAATGTAAGTAATACATTACATGAACTTCAGATGAATTAGAGGTGCTAGGCTTAAATTATTAATGATCAGCAGCCCTGCTCACAGAACACAGAGAGAGGCACAATGAGAGCAGTGTAGGATCAGAGACTCCTGTGAAAACATCTATAAAATTTCTCTCACAATACATTAAAAGAGGGCAGGGAGGGGAGAAACCCAAACCCTGCTGTAGAGTATTACAGCTGCAGGACAGAACATACGACCAGAAGTGAATTCAGGAAGGGTGGGCCCTTGCACATTTTGTTCAAAATACCATGTTCTCCTTTGATCTCAAAAAAACCCAGACGTAAGAGTCTAAGGGAGGGTCTTGGATTCCTGTTTATGCTGGACCACTCTAACCAACAGCATTTGCCATTCTTGCACTGAGTGCTCCTGAGTTTCAAGGTTACAAACCTGCCTCTGGCCCTTCTCACCTGCTCCAGGGAGGGAGAAGGGACACAAGGAGTTACATGGAACCTCCTGGGCACCACCCTTGAGACACACGAGCTGCAGGAGGGATGTCTGTGTGTGTAGATGGCAGGCAAGAACAAGAAGCAAAAACAAGAAGCAAAAAGCCATTATTGACTGTATTCACGTAAAATATGGCACAGCTGTCCATTTCAGTGCAAGAGGAATTTAGTAGCTGCATTTTCCTTTTCATAGAAGTGTGTCTCTTTTCCATGTTGATGTATTAAATATCCATGGTAACACCAGGGGACAA